TGCGGAATTTCCATCCCTCTCGAACGGCTGAAAAGGCACTGGTCGCGCCGGTATCTCTGAAAATCCGCGTTGCCAAAGCCGGCCGTGCGGCCGGCGCAGAATTTGCATTACTAATGCACAAACTACGTCAAACGAAATACACCAAAGTGTTTTACGACATATGAACGCACACTGAATAGAAGCCAACCACGTGCATGTGTACGTGCGTACGCATGGTGTGTATGTATGTGTTTTCGGTGAGTAGATGCGTCCAGTGAGCGTATGAGGCCCAATCATTCAATTAACTCTGCCCTATACAATCCTCTTGATGCGATTTTATTTAATAAAGCTAATGTCGCTTATGGTCCCGCAATGGCCGCGACTGCGCCTTCATTAAGTCGCCGCGACGCGGTCCAGCTGAAAACTAGCTTTACACCTTGTGTGGTGTTACTGCGTGATGCAGTTAAAATCATGGTGCTATAACTTTATTCTGTAATAGCGCATACGATATTTCGTGAGTTAATTTGAGATTAAAGTACGAACGGTGAATTTCTTACATTACTATTTTTTATCACAAAAAATTTCATTTCTGTTAGTGAAATAAATTAATGTAATATATTGATTTGAATTAATGTGTAACATAATAGAATAAATTCGATGGAAATTATAATATTGAATTATAGATTGGTAAACTTATTTTTTCGATTTTCTTCCCTTAAAATTAACACGCTCGTAACTTTAATAATAAAAAGGTGATATCAATGAATTGAAATGCTCATGAAAATCAATCAGGATTCTGCAAGAAGTAAAATGTATGCATTGATCAATACAACATATTGAGGTTACATAAAATATTTGTTTCGCAATTACTTGTTTGAATGGTCGCTTCATCTAATCATTTTTATATTTTGATTGACGTGAATCATATTGTATGTAATCTAAATAATATACCAAGTAATAAAAAAAATTATTAAATATTACCCGTAACATTCAGATTTTAAATACTTCCGACGAATTAGTTTATGATTAACAGAATTAAATATCTTGTTCGTACATAATTCTAATAAAGCATTGTTTAATTTGTTCAACAATTTGTTTTTAGAGAAACGGAAAATTAGTGTGCATATTAAACTTATATTAATCTTTAAACGCCTTTTCTTTTTTGAATACTTTTGCTATTTCTATCGCTTATAACTTTTTTATTAATAAATATACATAAATTTGTGGCACCATTATGTTCTCTAATGTCTGACGTTTTGATTGAAAAAAAATTGTTTGCTACTCAAACCCAAGTGTATTGTTCCTATAGTGTAGCCTTTAAGGCTCGCTTTAAGGATTAGAGAAATGTATAATAGAATATCTAAGGATATCAAATCTTATATATGCCTTCTTGTGCTCTATAAACACGAGAAAAAATTCTGGTCTTTTTTTAAGAAGAACTTAAAGATGCTAGAATGTTCGTAATGGATGTTTCAAACTGATTACCTCATGTATAAATATGCATGATAACTAATTCCATCTGTCGCTTAGACGCACTGTATTTTTAATTGTACGACTGTTAAAGTCCAAAAGTATGTCGTTGTGACACAAAACAAAGTCGATACAGCACCACTATTGTTTTCCACATTGGTGCAATTTAATAATGCACATTCGATTGATAATATTCGTAATTATCACAAAAATATGTACAGTAGACTGCAAAAAATATATTTGGTTTAAAAGCTGTTACTTTAAGTAATTTTTAATAAATCGGACTTAGCAACATATTATACATTAAATTAAAAAATGTTTGGAAGAATTAACATTTAATTACATTAAATTCCAGAAATATAAATTTAGAAATGCTCTTAAGATATTCGTTTTATTGAAATAAATTTCTTACGTATGACGTCTTTGAATTTTTTTGTGATCCATTTACATCTTCCGATACAATTCTATTATTAACCGATATCTTGAAAAGGACAGAGATGAAATTCATTAAAAAGCCGTCTAATTATTATCGCGAAACGACGTCAGCGTATCCAAATGCTCTCGTTGCGAGGGAGGAAATACGTCCTTCCGCCGACGCAACGCGACGCGATCGACCGGTGCAAGCGCTAATAATCCACCGACCAGTGCATTGTTCGATAGTGTGGGAGCGATTCACCGATACGGCGTGCGACAATACCTTCTTAATATCGGTTCACAGAGCGCGACCATTGCGCCAGTGGATTATTGTAATGAGAGTTTCTGAAGTATCTAGTTACGCGCGCGCGACTCGACCTCGGTACGCTCTCTCTTTTTCTCTCTTCGGCATTTCTTTTATGTGAATAGAACTCTCGCTTCGGACGATTTTTATTTTAATAAACTTATCTTTATTATGTGCATCCACGTCACGCTTTTAAAAAAAAGTCGGAGTCGGCGAGTACTAATCGAATTGTCTACGTGCCGATTGGTGACGCGGTGCATACTCTAAAAATATACATGCATGATGTTCGAGAAATGAAATTTCTGCTAATAGGATTATTTTAAATTATTCAAAAAAATAAAGCCTTATTAATTGTTTGCAACGAGATTGATTATACTTGATCAGAAATGCCAGATATGCTGCCGTTTATTCTATAATAACTCTACTAATGGTAATTTGATGGACAATCATTAATTTAATATTAGATATTCCCATGTATCTATAATATGCGCATACAAATTATTAAATCATGCATATATTATATGCAAAAGTTACAAATAATATATCTTTGTTTTGTGCATCGAAGCTTAGGAGTGTATTTTTTAAACATATTTGCCTTTCCTCACAAAAATGCAACTTAATATATTAATATTTTTTTTTGTTGCGATTAAACAATTTTAATGTATTTTCTTTTATTAACATGCTGCGATCTAGTATTTTGTTAAGATCCATATCTATTAAAAAAATTTTATTTTATATCTAATTGATTATTATTAATATAATTATATTGTATAAATTTTGTCGCTTTTAATAACTCCTTTTCTCTTTTCAAAGTACTATATATAGAATAATCTCATATAACTTTGTTAACGAAGTTATATGAGATTATTTTATACGCAATATTCTTAAACACACATTTTCTGTGTGCGCGATAAAAGATGCATTTAAAATTGTACACTTTGTTATATTTTTACAACCCGCAATTGCAATAGCACCGCATATTTAACAGCGACAATTATTCGTGTACAGAAATAAATATACCACACGAACCACGTTTACATTATTGAAATATTCTCCAATTGCGTACGATATAAATCGAGTGGCATTACGTTTCTATCAGTTCTGATTCAAACGCTATCATCGATTCGGGACCATTAATTATCCACACGATACAATTAATTCCTCGAACCGCGATGACTCTATCCCGTTAACCCCAGTATGCAAAATCTATTTTTTTTCTATATAAAATGCATACCAGCAATGACTAAATGGAATTAAGTGATCATAACAAGTTATAAAGCTATATCCCTGAAGTCAATATCATTTGAAGTAATCATATTCTATCATCAATTAATTAATAATTAATAGTACTAGTAATTAATACTACTTATTATTAAATATTTTTTCCTGTTTTACGATATAATGCGATTAATACGATATTGTATAATTTAATTTGCATATATTTTATATGACTGTTTCAAGATGTAAACATTTCATGACATTCATGAATTTGTGTAAAGAGATAATGAAAAATAGTAAACAATTTCAAAATATAAAACAAAATAAAAATATATTCTTACGAATATCAATGAATCTCCAATAATCCATACTGACATTTTTATTGGTATTTATCAGATTGTCCTTTTTATCAAACGACTATCCGCGCACTAATTGCCGCAATTGTCAGGGAGAAGCGACTGACGCAACGGCCAAATCGAGTTTATGCATTTTCCACGAACTCGTATGTACGTTATCCAGTTTGTGGGTGTGCAACCTGGCACGTTGGAAAGCGAAAACGCTTGGAAAGTGAAAACCGACGGGGAGATACTCAACCGGCGACCCAATGAGTCAGACGAGACGGCCGAACGTGCCTACTTTTGAATATTTATACGCGCGCCGCCCACTCGCGAATATTAATTTACTGACGCGCAAAGTATGAGCCGTGTCTGTCTGCCGCTCGCGTTGGCGTGCATCGTGGCTTAGCGCCTGCACGCACACGCGAAACGCACCCTGCGCTTCGTGTCGCGGACGCGTGTTAGGCGACAGTAAAAGTCACCGGATATCATTGTCAGCCTAATTAGTGCGTTTATATAGATTGTGCCGTGCAATTTTGCGCAACATGCAAGTAACCCGCGGGATCTTGAATTGTATCGAGTTACTATTCCGGTTCTCGTTGCTCCAACTTTAGACGTTATCCATGTCAGTTTGCATAATTTAAGATCAACACGAAAGTCAGAGCGTGTTATGCAGTTTGCAAATAATCAGATAGTCTTCCGAGTTTTCGTCATTCATTATTTTAATCATGAAGCCACATTTCTCTCTTTCTCTCTCTCTCTCTCTCTCTCTCTCTCTCTCTTCGCAAAATGTTCAATTAATATAATTTGATAATTTGATATCTTTTTTCTCTTAAGACCATACTGAGAAAAATTTCTGGTTGAAAACGAATGAACCAAAAAGTTCTGATCATATCAATTTTTATTATTTCAATTAGAATTATAATTAGGCCAATCAGAAAATACTGATTTCTCCATTTTCAATTAAAATTCTAATTAATACAACCAGATTCTTTTTCCAGTGCAAGTTTTAGCGTTTTATTTTACATTAAAATTTTAAGAGAATGCTATCTTACATTATGCTTCTTATCTAAGATCCTGTCCAAATTTTCACAACTCTAGTACTACGCAGTACTCGAAAGTAATCATAGATTTTATGCAAGCATTTGCTTCGCGGAACACCTGGGAGTGACTTAGTGCATGCAATTCCAACAAACTAGCTGCGCGAGATTACGAGAGAATGAAAGCTCGCGGGATTCGCAGTAGTATTCATCGCCATTATCCGTTTATATTGTTTCCAGATTCCACGTCGATCAAACGTTCTCCAGCCGAACAATTACACGTCTTTGCCTTCCCGAGCGCAACATTTTCGAAAGGTCAGTCGTTATATTAAAATAGGTCATCAAAGTCCTATCTTTCTTCGTCATCTTTCATTGTATTGCGCTGTTTCTCTCCTTCCCTCCCCCCCCCCTCTCTCTCTCTCTCTCTCTGCCTCTCTCTTTCTCTTTCCACATCTACCCCTTTCTCCGCAGGAGCGAAGGTGCGATTCGAAGATAACCGGCCCGACTCACGTCATAATAAAATTAAATTCATATCTCTCGAATCAGCAGAACGCGATAGCTACCGCGACATGACCTCCTGCTTATTGTAAGTAAACATGTATGTCCTCCCACCTTCTGTCCGTTCCCTCCCGTCACGAATAGTTTTGATTCATGAGACGGTCGGCAAGCGGAGCGTGCATGTCGCTCGCGTGTATGCGTATACACCCTTCTACGTGCCACTGCATTTCGAGGTGTACGTTTCTCTCCCTTCACCCCTTCACCCGGGACACCGCGAAATCCGACACTGCATACCAGTAACCTGACTTCCAAGCCTTCCTCTCCCAATCCCGTTCCTCGCCTCTTTCCGCGCGAGCTCGCGCGCTCGCCACGTTTAAACACGTGTCAACATGTCGGTTGACATAGATTTTTCGCCGAGATAGAGAACCTGAAGAATAAGACGAGCGAGGCCCGATCGGCTCCGTTCCATCGTATGAGAAAGAGAATGAAGGGGCGGGGCATGGAGCGACGAGCACGCGGGAAGCAATGAGGCGCGAGAGGCAGGAGACGGCATCTCTCTTTCGAAACTAGTTTGTACTTCTGGTAGACGAGGAGGGCTCGTCCCCTGTTCTCCAGAGGGCGAGATGTTTCGGGTGCATTTAACACCGGGAGGCAGAGCATCGCTGCATTGTCGGATCCGATCGCAGCAGCATCGCTGCGTTACGTCCTCGCTTAATTAATGCCGCTTTCCGGAGAGCGGACCGGACGTAATAAAACGTAAGAATAAACTGTGAAGAGCCAATCTAGGAATCTTATTAACCGCGATCCATATATTGAATCGTAATGGATATCTTCAAATGTATTTGAACTTTTAAAGATTTAAAAAGTCAATTTGTTTTTAATTTTGTCGTATGATTTTCATTTAATATTGATAATTTTTTATTTATTGTATATATCAGGTCTATAGGTATTACACATCGCTAATTTAAATATTATCGAAATGATCATGAAGTATGCACTTGAAATATTTTTTAATAATTAATAGTGATCACAAAATATTAAATGACGAATATTTATGAATAAAAATATCATGCATACCATAAATAAAGATCATAATTATGAATAATGACTGCCAATTCTATTGATTCAGCTTAAGCTGTAACGCTTGTTATAAAGATCTAAGGAGTGTTGCAATCTATAATTGCACGTTACGGTACATTTATATTATCATGGTCATGAGAAATAAAAATTGCAATATCTATTCCAGCATCAATCAGTGCAATATGAAATAACATAATAACTTTTGTAAGAGATAGTTTTCAAAGAGAGTAATGCTCACAAATGTAGATAATTAAATTATATATCTAGTTTCGTGAGATGAGCTTTTCTTCTATCTCTAGTTTTGTAAAAACGCGGTTTGCTCTCTGAGAGAATTTTCACTGCTGAAAAAACCGATAAATTTAGATAAAAACCGATAAATTTGCAACATCTTGTCGATTGACAAATCATCAGACATTCGTCAATAAATCACGTTGTTCGATAACTTTTCATTTCCAATGTACTTAGCACAGACATGAATCATCCTCGTCGCGAAGGACCAAGGTGCACTATCCGCAAATGTATCTACATACGCAAATGCGCGCTACGGGGCGAAAGTTGCGATATATCCGTTATAATTTCGTACCAAAGGGGTGAGTACACACGGGAAGGTGCGTATTGCTTCCATATGTAGGAACCATTTGTTCCGGAAAATGGCGCAATTTTGTCTCCCTGGCGCAACGTCGGAACAAATGCAATACCTTCGCGGTCGTAATTTAAACAGCGAGCCCTTCACGTGCCTCGTTGTATTTATTCGGGAATATATAAGGGATCTCTCCTCTCTCTCTCTCTCTCTCTCTCTCTCTCTCTCTCTTTCTCTCTCTTCTATGCAAGGATTCTACATTCTATAATTTCTGTTAGATACATGTTTAACGTGGTGGTAATTTCGTCGATGCACTTAGCGTACGCTCAGCGATGTCTTTTCAAATTGATTTAATGCGGTTGTTATATAACGGAGTCTATAAATCTGTAAGAGTCTGTAAATTTGTAAAGCTACAATAACTAAAATTAACGATCTGAAAATTCCAAGAAAATTACTCGGCGACTTTTAGCGAACTTACAATAGAAAAAATTTTTAATGAAATTAATAGGTGGGAGGAGAAGACAAAATTCGAACGAGATCTCTTACGATATGATAGTAATATAAGATTGAAGGAGACCTAGATGATGATCGACCCATATAGCGCATCGGAGTTATGACCTAACGAGGCCCTTGCACATGCAACGCCTCGGGCAGTTGCTTAGTTCGTCCCGGAATAGATACTCCTCCGAGCAAACAGGTACACAGTACAGTATATAAACTAACGTACGTAATTGGCAATTACTCTGCTATTTCACGCCGTTTTTGTGTACTACACTGTTTTCAAAAATCTCAATATGTTCTCTGAACAAATTTCTTGAATTACAAGTATTGACGAAATTAACGGAATGATATTTTTCTGGTAACAGTTTTATAATAATGTCGAATTTTTCACATAAATAGTTTATTTAAAGTCGCTGAATACCTCCTTTACGATTCATTTTTTTGACTGTTAATCTTTAAAAAAAAATTAACATTTTTGTATTATAGATATTTATTTAAATATTTTGAAACGTCTGATCATGTTTTTATATTGTGGAAATCCGCAAATTTCTCTTTATCTATTTTGTCATATATTTGCCATTACATACAATTTCTCTGTCTAATCATATACTCATGAATGTCTGTTTTCATATTCAATTTGTATTATGTAAAAGCAACACGCCAGCTTTGCGCATACGCAACTACTTTCGTTTTCTCTCTCGCGTTTTCTCTCTGTTACTGAAAGTTTCCTTTCTTTAGAATAATACTTTTGAGACTTCCACGAGATATTTTCTTTAGAGATGCCAAAGGGTTTGCGGGTTATCGCTATATTGTGATCCATTCTTCTTCTTTTATAGCTCAAATCAAGCCTTGGCCTCCCATCTGAAGATGAGGTTCAAAATAATGATTTTTCTAGAATTGGGTTGTAAGTCTAATATCCAACTGTATCGTAATCTGAAGGATCGACGCATGTATCTACCAACAGTTTTTAACTTCGACTCTAAACGTCGATGACAAATATATTCGGCGGTTTATCATTGCCTTCCGAAAGGTGATGTCAAATTTTTGTGTTCTGGGTGGATTTGAACCTAGACTTTTGGCATAGAAAGCAGCTGCTCTTACGCCACGATTGCCACAATTACAAAGTGTCCTGATGCATAATTTCTTTAGAATCCTTCGTTCTCTATACAGTTGGCCATTTGTCGTGTGTTGCAAATTTGTGTAATAATTATAGATTTTGTCAGTAAACATATTAAAGTGTATGAAGGTTAAAGACGAAGAAAATCATTTAATTTCTGACTCTATCAAAACGAATAAAAATATCAAATATTGAATTAATATTTGAAAAAATAACACTTTAATCTGTTTTTGCGCTTGGTATTTCTATTGCGTTTCCTATTCTAATATCTCTCGCTCGCGAGAAAGGATACTAAAAGGACTTACCTTCGCGCGTTGCGGGTCTCGGCACGGCCAGCGAGGTCCGAAGAGAGGGAAAAAAATCAACGAGCAAGAAGAAATCAAGATCCCTCGCGCGCCGCGGGCTTTCTACTTCCCTCGGAGGGGTGAGTGCGTGCGTGCGTTCGTGCGTGCTTGCCTGCGTGCGTGTTCGGGGTCTCTCTCGCGTGCGGCGTGAGAACTCTTTTTCGGGCCCTCACGAAACGATAAAAAGTAGACGAAGAGGAGGACGAAGTAGCACCCGGGAGCTCCTGTCCCTCTCTGTTCCTCTGCTCTCCTTTTCTATCTGCTTACCTTGCCTTCTTTTTCTTTCTTTCTTTCTGATTTCCTTTCCCTTTCTCTCTCTTTCTCTCTCTATCTCACTTTTCTCTTTCCCCTCGATCGCTTCTCTTATTATGCGAAACGGCACACGAATCTCAATGGCTTTGCGTGATTATTAATTAAGACGTTCCTTGTCGAACCGATTCGTCAATGAAGATATCCCGACGCGCGACCGCTCGCTATCCCGCGGCTGTCCTTAGGTCACGTTAATTATAGCTGCAGGTAAATGGCGCGCTGCGCCATTCCTAATTCGCGTGTTTCGGTCATATGCGAATATATCACACGAGAACATGCGAGACGTTGTCAAAGGACCAGCAACGTTTCGCGACTGCGTCTAGCACACAGCAAGTTAATTAGTCTGATTAATCAGAGAACTTGATGCTGACTGTCGCCGCGTCTTTTCCCGTCCTTTGAGAAGGACGAGAAATCAACGATCGTGAGACAGTGACATGTAATTTAGTATAATTAGTATTAAAGAGCGTTTATATTGTAGCATCATGCGACGTAGTCAACTGGGGAACTCAGGGCTTAATAATTCGTATATCCCTTGCCGATGTTCGATCGAGAATTACGACGATTTATGATTGTTGAAATCGAAAGTGCAATCGTCGCTAATTGTTCATATCGTTTAGCTATCAGTTAACTGTCAGCGATTACTACCCACTGTTCAATACTTCTTCCTTCTACTGATACCTGGATCCTTTGTAAGCGATCGAAACATTTGCAGTTTCGCGAATATTTGATTTGAGCAGCATGAATTGCTGTTAACGCTTATTAATTAGCTTGCAGCGATTCCCAGTCACTTGTCAAATGTTTCCTTTGATATAACACTCCGATCGCGTGTCCATAGCATGCAGTCTTCGTCCGACCGTTTCACAGAAGCGTGACTCTTGATAAGCGTTAATTATCCAGATATTAATTAGTCGTAATCACAATTATCATTCCATCGTGTGCGATTCACTTTTTAATTGTTTCTTCACTATAACATCTCTATCTTGGAACAAAAGAATGAGGATCACAATCATGCAATCCATTAATTACTAAAGTATAATTAATACACTGTTATTTATTATCTGCATTAAATGTTGTAACCATTAGCGTTTATCAAACGGCACATAAATTCTGTATTCGATCGTCTATTCGATGCTCCACCTCGAAGGTGTTTACGATCACCTTCGATAGAAAAAATTCTCCTTCTTGCTAAGAAACCAGGTTCATACAACATTCATAGTACTATCGACAAATGAAAATTCTTAATGCATTAATCCTGTTTACGATCGTGCTGCTTCATCTAATAGCAATCGAAAACTTTCGCAATTTAGAGACCTTTCGAAAGGGACACGACGAAGGTAGTGATCGAGTCGCACGTATTTCCTGCTCTTCCTTTACAATCACTTAATCGCTTTCCTCAACTTGAACGTTTTATTTCAATGTGCACTTGTACCACGCATTAAATGCCACTGCGCGTGCAAACATCGCGTTCATGACATATTCATTTCAAGTGAAGTAACGACTGACCCTTGGGTTTCTTCCACTTTAAAAATTCATTCACGAGATGAGTAATTGACGCAGTCGCCTGTTGATTTTCTCGAGGTCGTCGTCGATTAATAGCGGTTAATGGTTGCAGTAATCCTTTGATATTACTTAGATATCACTTATGAATCGGAAAGCGAGTTTGGATATGCATCAAATTTTATTTTGCAGCCTAGAATCTTTTTTTATAAATTGTACCACAGATTTGAAATAGTTCGGTCAATCTTCGTTCATCTCCCACTCAAATAATCCTTTATAAATAAGAATACGAACTTACAGTTCTGCGATTGAATAATTGAAACAAATGTAGTACGAAATCAGTGCGTTTATAAGTTAAATTATCTTCGTATCTTATCTCAAAATCGCCTTATTAAATCAAGTTACAAAGTTTGAATGATAGCGTACAAGGATAGTGACTGAAGTAAAACAAATTTCCTTAGTTTCTCTTAGGTCACTGTTTATGTACCAGGAGTTTCGTATCGTTCTCGGTCAATAACGAGCAACGGCAATGTAGACTCGTACGTTAAGTTAAGTTAAACTTTGCCTTCCATCTTCGAATTACTCTCGACGAATTGGGACACGAAGTTTAGACTCTCTCTTTCTCTCTCTCTCTCTCTCTCTCTCTCTCTCTGGAAGTAGCAATCGGATTAAAATAAATCCTCTGCACTAGCCTTGGGTCACTGAATCACTTTTTATAAACCAGAAGCTTTAAATCGTCTTGCGGAAGATAGAAAATGAACTGTGTATGATAAATAGAAACTATCAGTCTGTTATTAAGTCAAATCACATTCCACCTCAACAAGTCTTTACATGGACGTCTTAAATCATTCGTCATTCTTAAACCGTTATTCGAGAGTCCCGTTGATTTGTCGATTGTTTACGCTTATTATTCTTTGATAAACAAGAAACGATGTTAAACACTCAATCAAGTCACTTTATTTCTTCTCTCATTTCTTCTTGTTGTCTTTTTATGAATCAAGATAATTGGACCAATTCCTTTCCGTCACCCTCACAGGGTCACTAGTTTACGAATCCGGATGCGAGGATGGAAATGGTTTCACGAGGTTGTCGACGAACCGGGCGCGCACAAGTCGGATTAATTACACCGACAGATTAATCAGTAGCCGGAACTCACTCGGCCGAGTGGGTCGCGGCACTGGATGCTGCACTGTCGCGGTCACTCGTGGCGACCGCACCGTGGGACGCATCTCGGGGGCATTCGCACGCGGGCGCTTCCGGTTAACCGGAAGCGGCACGCATCGAAGAGAGCGCACCCTCGGGTTCTCTCTCTCTCTCTCTCTCTCTCTCTCTCTCTCTCTCTTTCCCACGCGAGCGACTGGAGCACTCCGATCGCACTCACCCGCTGGATCACCGGTAGCCCGCGCTACCGAATAGCACTGATTCGACGAACACACACACAATTGATGACACACACAAACACGCGCGACACACACACGTACACCGGACACGTACGAGAATTATCCGCTGTCCTCCTCGTGCGTTCGTCCTAACACGTCTGTGTTTTTAGGATCGTCGAAGGTATCGGACACGTCGTTTAGCCGATCCTTTTCGCGAAAGTTACGTGACTAATTCACCGTCTTAATGATGTCACGATGATAATGATGATAATGACAACGTTGCGAGCAAATTGGCACAATGATCATCCAAAATCAATGGAGACATTTGTCAACTGTAAAGATCCTTGAATAAATTCGTCGGATCACGATTTCCTTCCGCTACAATATCCCTCGAGCGTGTTCATGGAGTGACGTAACGCGGCAAACGCGGTAACGATCGAAAAACGGAATCGGTTAGCGCGTCCGAGCCGCTCGGATGGACCACCGTGATCCGGCCTCGGAACACACGCTCGTTGGACTGTCGTTCGGAGCAGCTCGGGCCGCGGTTTAGTATCAACGTTCGTTCTTGGCTTGCGTCGCGCCCCTCCCGGGACGCCGGCCGACGCCAATCGAGTGCGCGTATACCTACTACGTGTACGTACCTGCAAACCTGCAGGAGGTGAATCCACCTCTGCCTTTCCGCCCAACCTGAATCTCGACTGCGCGACCTGCGCCCGCGCGCGTGTCCTATTCTATGCGATTGCATGTATACGTGCCTGCGGCTAACACATATACACATACGTTTATAGGTGTGAAGCTAACATATATAGGACCTGCGCCTGCGATTCTAATCCATTTCCATTGAACATTAATAAATAAAGACACAATTGTTTGACAACGATAAATTTCTGTCATTGGTGCATTTTATATTTCATACAGCACAGAAGCTTGCAGCAACATTTTCAATGTTATTGCAATATTGTTGGAACGTTGTAATGTATAGGAATGATCTGTGCTGTATGAGATATAAGTCGATATCCATAGAGCTGAGGGTGCAAATGTTTGAAATACTTTTATTTAAAACACATTATTTGCAATACATACACTGTGATAAACATTAATTTACGCACAAATAACTGTGTTGACTCTTTTTCTCTCTCTTTCTCTCTCTCTCTCTCTCTCTCTCTTACTTTCTCTTATGCTTTCTTTATTTAATTCTTAATTATTATTTCAAGAGTTTTAATTGCAAGTAATGTTGCAGCAATGTTACTACAAGGTTTTGTGCTGTATGGATACTATTGTTTACTTACTATTATTTGTAATTAAACAATGCGATTTCTGTAGGAAAAAGAAGGAAGGAATTGCGTGTTAATGTTCGGATTTGATTTTGTCATGTAAAATTGATGCAATTAAATTTCGTTTTCGTACTTAAAAATCTCCTTATTTCACTTCATTAGATATCCGCGAACCATTTGAAAGTTTCTTCACGACTTCTCATAAAAAAGAATTAGAATCAGCGCCAAGTCTGCTATTGCACCTCCCGATGCTAATGAAGTACTTCATATTACGCATTAAAGAAATTTTTTTGTGTTGTCTCTTTTTTATAATAACATAGCGGATTAGCTAAACCTGATCCGAACAGCATATTCGACGGAATCGGATGCATCATTTTGACTTTGCGCTTTCGCTAATTGGCAGACACCAATCTAAATACTTTTAAACATTCGTTTAATGACTGGTCTGGCATAATTCTCTGGTTGTTTCCCTCTCCTCTGCCCTCTCACACACTCTCTCCCACTCTTTCTCTCTCCTTCTTGCACGTGAGCCCAACTCGACCCGAAAGGTGGATCGATAGGATGAAAATGGGTTAACGTTTTACGATCTCACCTCGTACCGCTAATTTCGTGCATATTCGGATTAGTAGATACGAGGCAAGATATCCGAGACCGGAATAACTGCGGATTTCTTCCTTTTGTTCTTATCCTTTTCCCCCTCCTTTTTTCCCTTTCTTTTTATTTCTTGTTCGGCAAGATGTAAAAATGCAGTATTACCGCGCTCTTATCGAGAGCGTTACGGACTTCGTGCTTTCTGCATGCGCTTGCTTGCACGAATGTTATCGGATGTCGTATACGACATATATAGATGGATATGTACCGTTTTGTATGTTTCGTTATCCTGTGAATGCGCATGAATCCCTCACGAGATTGTTTCGCAAATACTTTTTACGAACGTCCCGTATCTAGTATCCAAAAGTGTGTCGCGGTGTGTATCTATCAGGTGTACGCAGTTTTTGCAAGTAGCTGTCATACTGAGTGTACAGGAGTGCTAGCAATTGACAGGTCTGCATATGACAAACGTGGCAAATGACAATTTTGTCGAAAATCATTTGCCAACGCCGCTAGATTCTCTATAAAGTTTAAAAACGTGTTTGTAAAAGCCAAACATAAATAATATTAGATTATCGATACTGTCAATATATATTTCGAGCTCCTGTATCTCGTACCGAGAAAATTATCAAATTTTACTCCGGAGTTTTCTTCGTGATTAATAATGATTACAGTTACTAATTGTGAATAATGGATATAGAATTCTTTTTTTTGTGAATATTTCATTACTCTGATTCATTAAATATACTACTGATTTTTTACTCTATGTAAATAAATATGTTTTTACTCCACATAAATACATATACACAGTTTATTTCATCTCATAATTCCATCTCATAAAAAAATATTTTACTTTTGGCTTGAAGTGTTTTACTGGTAAAAAGTGGAAATAAACCTATAGTAATAATAAAATTAGAACCAAACCTATAGTACAACTGTACGAAGATTTCTTTCTACAAAGTAATTTATTTCTACAAAAATAAGTTAAAGTGCAGAATAAATTTTTTTTCGTCCGAGACTTTGTTGTGAGTATTTCTCTTGATAAAATAAATAACATTTATCATAGTTTCTTTAATTTTAAAAATTTTTTCTTTCTTTTTTTATAATCGCTGTTGTTCGTAAAGTCGTATGAATGTCGTTATATATATAAACATGATGATTATACAGTATCTTTTTACAAACTGTATCTTATTCCGTACTTTTAATTTACTTTTGTTCAAGAAATCACTTCCCGTCTGAAATAAGTCTTGTAATAAGTCTTTTCCTACCCTGTATATAAAATATGTATAAATAATAATTTTACATACTATAATAATGGTCTCTCATTTGCGGTATAAATTAAACTCTCCAATGTAACATTCAAAGGTATTATTTAATAATTTATTCTAAATTATATATACGAAATACGCAAATACAGAATTATGGTATTAACAATTTCAGAAAAAAACGTGATAAATAATTTAATATAGATGTCAGTTATACTATTTAATATTAACGAAATGATTAATTTATGCATACAATATAATAATGATGTAATTACGTTGTGATGAAACTGAATTTTTTAATACATACATTGAATAATTACATGATTTTCCAAAAGCTTATATTTTCCCGTGTATTATGCTTCAACACGTTCTCGGATTATATTTATTTTCTGCGGATGCGATGTATTTTACTTTCTGATCGTAGCCTTTTCTATCCCGCCGTACACTCGAAGGAAAACGCTGGAAGTGTCGTTGAAAGTTTCGAGCACTCAGTCTCACCATTATTGTTGGTAGTCTGCTAGTAGAGAGAAACGCGGAGGAAAGCGCCTACGCGCGCGTCTGTGTGCGTACGGATGCACGTCTGTGCGTGCTCAGCGTGTGCGGAGGACGGATTTCATAGTCCATGTAGTTTGGCATCAATGCGAAATCTGGGGTTGGTTTCAGACGCACGATAAAGCCATTTCAAATTGAATAACAGATTTCTGGGCGCACAACAAAATGCACTTGCCGCGGAGGTTTCCGAAGCCTAGAAAGGGGATTTAAGCGATGCTATGTGTGCCTTTCTCTATCTTCACGCATGGCGCACACGCATTCACACGAGTGTCTCCTCGCTTATCTGACTTTGCCCTTAAAAATGGGATCTATTTTTTCAATTATATTTTTCGCGCATTCAAACATTGCACGTATACTGATTTATTATTCAGAAATAAAAACGATTATTTTTCAAAATTATCACGAGCAAACTAAGTAGACTTTATTCACATTTTCTTATTCACATTTTCAATTCTCAATATAATTCAGATGAATATTGAGAGGAAAGTGTTTGATATTTATGACAATAATTGCATAGAAAAATAATTATGATTAAAAACTTCATTTTTATAATTATTATCTACTGTTATATAATGTTAGTAATAATAATTATATTTATAATTGAAGATATACAGTTAAGCACCGAAAATAACAATAAATTAGAGTTAAATATCAAAATTGCAATCATTTCTTTTTCAGCAATTATTGTAGAAAGTGCACAGTTTCTTTAATTACTGAAAAGGAAAGATAATGATTATTTCACAATTTTATATTGAGCGACCACTGTTGACATCTCTCGGAATCTTAAGTCGGTTGAATAATTTTCGTGTGAACGAAGATGACTCGCTTTTGCCTAATTAGTCATATCATCCGGCTCCGTTACGTACTCATTGCTACTCCGGAAACGATTCCAGGTAAATCCGATCTCGGGATTCGATTGCGAACCGCAAACGGATTTGGCGTGTGTTCCGCTGAGTAAATCCTCAAGAATGCTTAAAAAGGCTTGTAGGAAACCGCTAATTAAAAACATTATTTTATCATTTCAATAATTCTCAATTGAAAGACAGGACAAAATCATTTCCTGCTTATTTGGATTAAAAAATTCCAATTCGTAATATAATACAAATTAATATTAAATCTGACACGTAAAGGTTTAATCTGATTAAATCTAACGTGTTTTACATTTTATTTGATGCTTTTTTACATTTACATATTTATGTTTATTCACAATAAAATATTGTATGTATACTCAATAATAATTTCAAATACTGAGGATAGCCCAATAAAGGAAAACATTCATATGTTTTATATCACATTATTAAACTAGACTAAACTAGCAATAGACGAATGTAGTTTTAATTCATAGTAAAATCTATCGTTGGCATTTATACTCTTTTTATATTACATAATTTTGATTTATAATAAAAGTTATTGTCAATTTTTAACATCCTCGTGTAGAGGTTCTTTTTATTTTTAAAAATTAAATTTTTACATTGTTATTTATCTATTTATTTATAGTTTGACGTTATTAACATTAACATTTTTCAATATTTAAAATAACTTTTTGAAAAGCTGATCAGATTAACATTTATTGTTAATATCTCATTTATATTTCCAATAAGTTCTTTCGTATTATACTTCATTTATTGTCGTCACATTGTCGATACATCACGGAAATGTTGCATCGTTGCTAGATATTCACCGAGCTTTGACACTTGTCTGAAATAAAGAGGAAAGAGTTTGAGATACCGCATTACAATACATTACAATTTTAAAGCAGCGCAAGCCAGCGAATTTACTTGCCAGGCAAGTGGTATACATTCTATCT